CCTTTCAGAGGTGCTCAGATAAGCAGTAGGGTGGCTACCAGATCTGGGGTGTCCCTTGCCCCCAAGACCTCCATGACGAAAAAGATGGTGTTGCCTTAAACAGTCTGAGAGACAGCAGCTGGCCACCCTGGTCTCTGCTGTGGGACCCGTTCCACTTCCAGGAACCCCAGCCTGGGGTCTGACAGCCCAGCTGAGAACCTCTGCTGGGCTCTGAGGCACTTGCCCCCCCCCCCGGATTCAGGGTCCTGGGTCCATTAGGGCTCTATTCTGGGATTCTGTTGTATTCAATTTAGGATCCTATTCCAGGATGCTGACATTTGATTAAGCTGTGTCCCCCACGGACCCTACTGGCACACGAGGAAGGAACTGGAAAGGGGGGTCATTCTTACTTCAGAAAGAAGCATTAGGGGAGGGGAGCTCGGCTGTTTCATGGTGTGGGCGCACAGGGCAAGCAGGTGACCGCCCACTCCCTTCCTGGTTTGACCGAGGGGAGCCGGTGGGTAAGAGAAGGGGCTCATGCAGGTCACTCAGCAGGTGAGAGGCCTGAGCTGTATCTCACTTTTTATCAAGAGATAAAAAGACAAGTGTCTGCTGTACAATGCCTTCCCCAACTCACACATGCACACGGGGACTGGGGGGGGGGGCAGTGCAGGGGACAGGAGAGGCAGTGGCTGTCTTGATTTCTAGATGATTCAGCTCTGGCCCCTGGCTCCCCGCTGTGTGTGCGAGCATGTGCGGGCACAAGAGCCGCAGGGCGTGTGTTCCAGCACGAGGCGACCTCATGAGGCTCCGTCTTTTGGTGGCGATCCCTTGGGGTGAGAGGGCTCAGACTTCGGTGTTCAGAGGTAGCGGACAGGTGAGGGGGCCTTCTGCCCCCAGCAGCCCCCTTCCACCGTGCCATCTGCAAAGGAGCCTCCAGATCTGGTTCTGACAGGCTGGTTCCACATCTGTGCGTGTCCTCGGGGGAGGGTGGCTCGCCCAGAAAGTCAACCCCTTAGCTAATCAGTAGCCAAAGATCCACACACTTAGGGAGGGGTCAGATCTTCTGGGTATGTGCCGGGTGGGCATGTGCCCACCAGAACCAAGCACGGAAAAGGACCTCTATTTTGAAGAGCAAAATCTAGAAACACCCCACACGTCCACCAAGAGGAGGAGGAACAATACACTGTGTATTCATGTCGTGGAATGCTACACGGCAACGGAAAAGCACCGATTACAGCTGCATGCGATGCTGACTCTCATTAGCATCATACTAAGTAGAAAAATGCAGATGGCCTTCCATATCATATGATTCCATTCACTGGGTTAAGAGGAAAACAGGCAAAAGCCATCTAATATTTTAGCAACGTATTGGCAAGTGCCGGGACGCTGGAGAAAAGCAGGGGCCGGGGACCAGAAAGGTCAGGACAGTGGCTCCTCCAACAGACAGAGAGAGGCGGGGCTGGGCGTGGGCTGGGGGTTCCTGGGATGCCGCTTGTGTAGTGACGAGGCGGGTGCTTGCTTTATCGTCGGTTGTGTTGCGTGCACTTTCCTCTAAGTGTGTAGTATTTTGCAAACTTTAAGAAATAATCTTCAGAAATCATGCTGTACTCCTGGAGGATGCTTCCCAGGCCTGCTGGTGGTCCCCAGGGGTCCCTGCATCCTCAGGGTCCAGCTCTGAGCCACCTCCCCCTGTTCCTCGAACATCAGCCCTCACCTCCCGGAGGCTAGGGGCCAGCTTTCTCTTACCCACCGTCTCCCCTCTGCCAAACCAGCCCCCCGGTGGATATGGTCTTAGATGAGGGGCCCCAAGAGTGCTGGGCAACAGTGATCATTCACACCCAGGCTCCATGTGGAGGCTGAGGAACTGAGACCCAGAGAGGAGAGGGTAGTGCCCGGAACTCCTCACCTCCCAACAGTGAGCTGGCATCCAAGAGAGACCTCGATCCCTGCAATCTAGATATGTAATAACACTGCATCGTGTTCCCGGGTCTAGAACATTCTGGGTCTATGCTATCCAATACGGTAGCTGACTCCTGGCCTGGGATACTCCAGGACTGCACTGTTCAGTAGGCTAGTGGGCTCCTAGTCTAGAACATTCTGGGTCTGCACTCTCCAGTACAGTAGCTGGCCCCAGTCTAGAACATTCTGGGTCTGTGCTAACACAGTAGCCAACCTCTAATATAGAATGCTCTAGATTTGAACTGTCCAATGTGGTAACCACCAGCCACATGTAGTCACTTAAGTTAAAGTTTACATTTATTAAAATTAAATAACATTAAAAATTCAGTCCCTGAGTCATATTTGCCACATTTTCAAGGCTCAATAGCCACATGGGCCTAGTGGCCACTATACTGGACAGCACAGACAGGACATGTCCATCATGGGAGAAAGTTCTATTGGACAGCATGCGTCTAGAATGGCGAATTACAGCCTTATCCTGAGCCCCCTGCCTGCTTTTGTAAATAAAGTTTTATTAGCACATAGCCACGCCCATTCATTTACATCGTGTCTGAGGTGACCCTGGGCTTAGAACATTTTAGAACCATACTGTCCAATAAGATAGCCACCAGCCACATGTGGCTACGAAGCCTTTGAAATGGGGCTTGTGTGACTGGGGAATGGGATTTTAAAATTTGTTTAATAATAAGTAATAAACGATACTGACTGCCTGTTGAAATAATAAGATTTTAGAGATATTGGGTTGAAATGAAATATAGCATTAAAATTCTTTTTACCTGTTTCTTTTTCCTTTTTAAACATTGCTACTGGGAATTTTAAATGCTGCGTGTGGCTTGCATTATATTCCAGTTAGCACTGCTCACCAGCTCTTTTCCTAACCAGGAGTTATCCACCCGGGCACCCCTGACTTGGGGCACACCATTCTTTGTTGGGGGCCGTCTTGTGCCCCGCAGGGTGTTGTGCAGCTTCCTGGCCTCTACCCACAGCATCTTCCAGTCTTGACAATGACAAATGTCCCCAGACATTGCCCAGTGTCCCTTGGGAGCCAAATCGCCCTGGGCGAAAACTCCTCCTAAACTAATGTAAACTCTTCCGTTAGACAACAGAGGCTCTCGTGTGCTCTCAACAGCACACCAGGCACGTTCCTGCCTCCGAGTCTTGGTACACTCTGTCCTCACACCACCCCCATCTTCATCTCCATCTGCCACAATCCTCCCATCTCTCAAAACTCAGCCCCAGTGCTCCCTCCTCCAAGAAGCCATCCTGTTTGCTGTCTACTGAGTCTGCCATGCAGGTCAGCTGTTTCTCCCTGGTGATGCTGCCCCAGGGCGCCCTTCCATCTGGCCGTTTGTTCTGTGCTAACCTTCCGTAGCGGGTTGAATGATGGTCCCCCTAAAATACACCCGAGTCCTAACCTCCGGAACCTGGGAATAAAATGAGACCTTAGTTGGCCCTAGCCAGATAGAGCTTCGGCCTACGGACTGAAGGGTCCCGGGTTCTATTCTGGTCAAGGGCGCATGCCCGGTTGTGTGCTTGATCCCCAGTAGGGGGCCTGCAGGAGGCAGCCGATCAATGATTCTGTATCATCATTGATGTTTCTATCTCTCTCTCCCTCTCCCTTCCTCTCTGAAATCAATAAAAATATGTTTTAACAAAAAAAATAATCATAATAAAATGAGGCCTTATTTGGAAAAGGGGTCTTTATGAACGGAATTAAAGGACAGATCTAGAGATGAGCTCATCCTGGATGTATGGTCAGCCCTAAGTCTAATGGCAGGCATCCTTATACGAGAAAGGCAGGGGACATTGGAGAGATGCAGACACAGAGAAGAAGGCCCTGTGACAACGGAGGCGGGAATGATTGGAGTAATGAGTCTACAAGCCAAGGAACTCCTGGCAGCCACCAGAAGCGGGGAGAGTCACAGAAAGGATTCTCCCAGAGGGAGTGCAGCCCTGCTGGCACCTTGGTTTCTGATTTCTGGCCCACAGAACTGTGACACAATATATTTTTGATGCTTTAAGTGCCATGGTTTGTGGCGCTTTGTTAAGCAGCCCCAGGACTCCAGTAGTTGGAAGGAGGGTTTTGAAAACTGAAATCAAACCAGGTCATTCCTCTGCTTGCCACCCTCCCATGGCCCCACTACCCTTGGAATAAAATCCAAACTCCTCACCTAGCCCCGTCCCTTCCTCTTCCCCATCCTCCTCCCACCCTCCTCCTCACTCCATGGCTTCCTCTGCTCATCTCCCCGGTGCTCCTCAAAGGCACTGAGTTTGGTCCCGCCTCGAGGCCGCTGTACTGGCTGTGTCCTCCACCATGGATGCCCTTTGGGCAGATAGGCTCCCTCCCTCCCTCAGCCCATCGGGTTGCCTCCTCAGAGAGGCCTTCCCTAACCACCTGGTGCATCTATAACCCACTGGGCCGGCACGCCCCAGACTTCCTGCTCCCAGCAGTGATGGGTACAGGTGCCCAAGCAGCTCCTGAGTGCTTCTGCTGCTGAGGGTCTCCGAGAACCCAGAGAGAATGGCAAGCCCCACCCCCAGAGCCACGAATCTCACTATGGTTCCTTCACTTTCCAGCAGGAGGTGCTGCCTGGAGACCTCTGCCCACCCAAAGAGGACAGGGCTGAAAGAGAGACCTGGCAGGTACAGAGCCTGGGCCGACCTCCCCTTGGGATGGAAATCCTGCCCAAGCAACCCCCGAATCATGGGGCTGAAGCTCTATTTGCTTCGATGTTCCTATAACACTCTGGGCACAATTCTGCCTCAGGGCCTTTGCACGTGCTGCTCCTGCTGCCTGCTAATGCTTCCTCATCTTCAGGTCTCACACCCGCAACCAGTGCCACCTGCATAACCACACACAGCCACTCCGGTGTGACGCTTGGGCCCAGTGTGCAGTAGGCACTCAATAAGTGCTCACTCTGGTGATCATTTCTGTCCCTCTGAACCTTATACCTCTTTCTGAGCCAAGACACTGCTGATCCCAAGAAGGGCCTTGGCCTTCCCCAGGCTGAGAGCCACCCCTCCGTTCTCCCCGCTCCCCAGGCAGCATCCAGACTCACCCCGGGCAAGGTCTTCTGTTCGTGCAGAGCAGTCTGAGCTTTGATGGCGGAGTCCCTGGCACAGTAAGTGAGGAAGGCACAGCCTGGAGGGGAGAGAACGGGGGTGTTAAGAGAAAGGGATGCTGTGCACCCATGTTCGTTCACAGCAGCATCATTCACAACAGTCAACAGGGAGAAAGAACCCAAGTGTCCATGGGTGGGTGAATGGACACACAGTGTGGTCCATCCACACAGTGGAATACCACTCACTCTTCTAAAAGGGAAGTGATGACACCTGCTATGACATGGATGGACCTGAAGGACATTTTGCTCAGTGAAGTCAGTCAGACACGAACGGGCAAATGTTGTATAATTCTACCTGTAAGAAGTCCCCAGGGAGTCCAATCCACAGAGACAGGCAGTAGACCTTGTCAGGGGCTGGGGAGGAGGATGAGGAGTTCATGTTTAGTGGGGACAGAGTTTCAGTTTGGAAAGATGAGAAGGTCCAAGAAAGATGTGATGGTTGTACAGCAATGTGAATGCACTTAATGCCACTGAACTATACACTTAAAAATGGTTAAGATGGTGAATTTAACATTATGTATATTTTACTACAGTAAAACACCTGGGGGGAAAGGGAGAAAACATGAGAAAATGGTAGATTCTATATTATGTGTATTTTACTACAATTAAAAATTTAAAAAAGCAGACCCGAACCGAAGCCACCTTTTGCGGGGGGAGGGAGGGTGCAGTAGCAGTGGTTCAGCCCCCGCCACTTCCCAAAGAATGAAACAGGGAGGGGAAGAGAGGTGCCCCCGCTGCTGATGGAGTCTGGGGCTGACACTAAATGAAGGGACTTTCTGAGCTGTGGGCTGGCAAAGTGCGGTCAGGGCGTGGGGGGGAGAGGACGATGGGGAGCGAGCCCGTGGGGGGGAGAGGACGATGGGGAGCGAGCCCAGCACTGGGATGAGGAGCAGTGGGCTCTGCCACTGACTCGCTTTGTGGTCTTGGATGAGGCGCTACCCGGTCTTTGCCTCAGTTTTCCCCAAAGAGCACGGTCCGAGAGCACCTTGAGATGGACCCACCCAGGGGCATCCGAGGCTCCAGAGGGTGTGTAGTCCCGCGGCAAAGAGCAGAGCCAATCAGGAGAGGCCCTGGGGGTGTCCGAAGCCAGGGTGTGATTGGACTACACCCCGGGTTGGGGCGGGGGTGCCAGGTGTTGAGAGTCACAGAGCAAGGAACATTGAGACAGAGACAGAGAGAAGCAAAGAGAAAGAAACGCCCAGAGAAAGACCAAGAGATCAAAGATACTTTGAAAGACGTTTGCAGAAGACGGGGTGGGGGTGGCAGGCAGGTCCGGACCCCTGGGATGGACCCCCGAGGTCTGGGCCCAAGGGCTGGGCTTTGCCTAACTTCTGCGGGCCTTGTTTTCACTGCCTGTGAAATGAGACCACCCTTGGCTGCTCGGATGCTGTTGGACCCTGTGTCCCCCGGCCCCAGCGTCTCCCACTCATGGTCCCTGTCTCTCTGCCTCCCTTCACTCCGGACTTCCCGTGCAGAGCTCTTGGGAACAGCTCTGGGGAGCACACTTCCGCCCCAGGCAGGAGCTAATTAAAGCTGCGTCCTGCTGGGCAGGCGATGCTTACCACAGTGGCTGCTCCCACCAGCTGGGCTGGGTGGTGGGGAGGAGTGCCGCCCCAAGCCCGAGAGGTCTCTTAGAACTCTGGGGAGGGAGCACCAGGCAGAGCTGGAGACGGGCACCAGCATTTAAAGAACATTTGTAAATGTAAAATGGTACAGCCGCGGTGGAGAACAGTCTGGCAGGTCCTCAAAAAAGTTAAACGTAGAATTACCATATGATCCAGCAATTCCACTCCTGGGTAGATACCCAAAAGAATTGAAAGCAGGGACTCAAAAGAGATATTTGTACACCCATGCTCACAGCAGCATTGTTCACAATAGCCAAAAGGTAGAGAAACACCCAAATATCCATCAACAGATGAGTGGATAGATGAAATGTGGGATATACAGGTGTCCCCCCAAAATGTATACACCCCTTAACAGCTGATAGCTCAGTGTTGAAAATGAAATGTATGTTAATAAGCACTGCCTTTATAATTATTTGAAGTGTGTGCACACACTTTTGGGACACCCTATATGTACAACGAAGTATTGTTCAGCCTTCCAAAAGAAATTCTGGGCCGTGCGACACGTGATGAACCCAGGGGCCTTATGCTCAGTGACGTAAGCCAGACACCAACGGACAAATAGCGGATGATTTCATCTTATGAGGAGTCACATCCATACAGACAGGAAGTAGATGGTGCGTGCCCGAGGGCTGTGGGTGAGGATGAAGAGTGAGTGTTCAATGGGGATGAAGAGTTGGTATTAAATGTAGTTTTGCTGGGGATGGGGGACACAGGGTCCAAGAGTTTCAGTTCTGCAACATGAGAAGGGATCTGGAGATGGGTGGTGGTGATGGTTGCACAACAACGTGAATGTGGGTAAAGCCACAGAGATGTACACTGTAAAATGGTACATTTTACCACAAAAAAAATTGTGATGGTATGTATTACAAACCTCCTCCCCCACAAAGGGCAGCATCTGTAAGTGTACAATTAAATAATTATAAAGCCATGTGATCATCTCACAGATCCAGAAATAGAACACGGAAGCCACCGGAAGCCCCATGTTCCGTCCACCCCACGACAATCTTTCATCCCCAAGAAGTGGCCACGACCCTGGCCCTTGTGGTAACCAGACCGTGCTTTCATTATGGTTTCCCACGCCCATCATTGTAGCTGCGTGCTCCCCATGCTGAACTTACATAAATGAAATCACAGTGTATGTCCGCTTTCTTCCACTCAACTGTGGATGCTGTGTGTCTCGGGGATTAATTCCTTTCTATTTCTGTGCAATATTTTATCCTATGACTATACTACAAATGGTTACCCGCTGTCCTGTGGATGGGTGGCATTTAGGCTGTTCCCTGTTTGGGGCTATCATGAATAGAGCTGCCATGGGACATTCTCACATATATACTTTGGTGCACAAAGGCGTATCCAGGAATGGGATTGCTGGTTGTAAGGTTGGTATATGTTTAGCTTCAATCGATTATTTCAAACAGTTTTCCGACATGGTTGCACCCACGTATACTCCCACCAATGGGGTCTGAGAATCTTATTGGTGCTTCTTTCTCACCAACTCGGTTTCCACAGCCTTTTAAATGTTAGTGGTGGGTGTGCCATTACATTTCATTGAGATTTTAACGTACATTCCTGAATTATTGAAGCTAGGCAACTTGTTTCTTTTTAGAAGTTCTTTATATATATTGTGTGTTTATCTGTTTTTGTTTCTGTGTGATGCAAACATCTCCCAATCCATGATCTATCTTTCTATTATTTTTTTCTGTGTGTGTGTCTTTCTATTTTCTGAATTTAATCCCCAAAGGTCTTCAGGGAGATGAGAGGTGATAGAATACCTAGCCCTGCCCTGGATGGTGTTGCTAAGTTGTCAGAGCGCTGGCCTGCACACTGAGGGGTCATGGGTTCAATTCCTGGTTAAGAGCACGTACCCTGGTTGCAGGTTCGATCCCCAGCCATCATCAGGGCGTGTGTGGGAGGCAACCAACCGATATGTCTCTCTCACATCAATGTTTCTCTCTCTCTCTCTCTCTCTCGATCTCTCTCCTCCGTCCCTCCCCCCCCTTTCCTTCCATCCTCTCTAAAAAGCAATGGGGGGAAATATCCTCAGTTGGGGATTAACAACAAAAAAGAATAACTAGCCCTAAAACCTGAGAGAAATTAGGCATGGCTGGGAAGAAATCGGGCTGCAGGCAATGCAAAATAGGGGCAGAACCCTTCCTCCTCGGGTCCTTTCTCGCCTGTGGAGCCGCACCTGCAGAACATGGAAGGGTGGGGAGGGACCCAGAGCAACCTTCCACACCATTGGCCTCTGTGTCTGTGAATTTTGCTGCAGGAGGAAGAACTAACCCAATCGCGGGCCGCTGTCCCTGGTGCTGAAATGATTCCCAGTTCTCCTTGCCCAATCTCTTCTGGGACTCTCAGTTTTTCTTCTCTAGTTGGTGAAAATGTGTGATGTTTACCCGTTTCTAGATATATAGAGCCTTGGCATTCAGTTCCTGATAGGGTTGGATCATCTCCCTAGCCCTCAATTCATACGCTGCTGTCCTAACTTTTAGGACCTCAGAATGTGACCTTATTTGGAAGTAGAGTCATTGCAGATGGAATTAGTTAAGGTGAGGTCATACTGGATTAGAGTGAGTCCTAATACAACACAGCGTGTATCTTCATAAGAGGGAGGAAATCCTGACACGGAGACGTGCACACAGGGAGAACGCCATGTGGACACAAAGGCAGGAATCGGGCGATGTATCATCAAGCCGAGGGAAGTAAGGACTGACAGCAACACCGGAGGCTGGGCGAGGGGCTGGGTCAGATTCTCCCTCTCAGTCTCAGGAGGAACCAACTTAACTGACACCTTGATCTCAGACTTCCAACCGCCCTTGGAGGGAAAACTCAGCCCACCCAATGCCCACACTGGGTGAGCTGCTCACTCTGATTCCAGCCCTGGCCACCCCCACACCACACATCAGCCCCGTTGATGACGTGGGAGCCTGGCTGGGAGTCAAGCAGCTCCTCCCCAAACGGACTGAACCCTGAGGGGTTAACTGGTGAGTGGGGCAGGTAGCGAGGGCAAGTCCACCTGCAAGAACTGATAGCCAGAATCCTTAGCACGTGACAATTCTATGGCACCTTTTACACACACCTCCATTTTCAACGCTAGGACCAGGGCTGATCTTGGGAGGGTCAGTGCCCACCGATCTCTTGAGAACCAAGGGCAGAGTTGCACCAATGGGGGGACCTATGCGGGGCAAGAGATTTCCTCCATGTAGGAAAGTTTCCTGCCCAGCCGGTGTGGGTCAGTGGTTGAGCATCGACCTATGGACCAGGAGGTCACGGTTTGATTCTAAGTCGGGCACATGACCAGGCTGTGGGCTCAATCCCCAGGAGGGGGTGTGCAGGAGGCAGCCAATCAATGATTCTTTCTCATCATTGATGTTTCTATCTCTCTCTCCCTCTCC